AGACGACTCTGACTGGTGTTGCCTATGAAGGGCAGCGGCAGTTTACACTGGTATTAATTGGGTCTCTGGAGTGAGAGCGCCGGGCTGACTGGCTGTCTGCACTCAACCAAACATTATCATTATTTTTCCTGTTTATAAAAGACCTCCATATGGCCGAGAGCCAGAGAGAAGGCTAACTAGGTTGAGATTAAGTTTACAGAAGTGTCTGTTTTTCTGTAAAGACGTCAATGACTCATTTCGTTTTCAAAGGTGAATGCGATGCGTGAACTCTGCTTTGATGGCTGCATGTATATTTAACAGTCACTACGTGCTGTAGGCTGGGCCATGTCTGTTTTTCATCCGTAAATACCTTCCCTGTAGTCTCTTCTAGTGCTGTCTAATACCAGTCATTTAAGAAATGCTTGCTACAGGATAATGTTGCAGCAGTGTGCAGACAGATTGCGTTTTCAACTTCCGACTATTTCTTCTCATGACTAAACTCCCTTTTTGAAATAAACTCCTTATATTTTCAGTGTTCCATTTCCACAGATACTTGAAATGTCGGTGGTTTATAGCACTTTGTTTCAGAACAGTGTTCGCAACTGTTCAATGCTGAATGCATAAAATAACAGTAAATAAAAAAGTGATGGAAGAGATACAGTGATACGGGCAACAACATGTCATGTTGTTTAATCTTAGTTGATGCTCTGTTTGCTTAGCCTTGTGCTATCCTACGTGGAAAAAAAGACAAAACAGCAAATCAGAATCAAATAATTTAAGGTCAGCTTGCTAAAGTCAGTGTGACTCACAGGATGTAGACTGTAGGTATAAATAAGCCATTTCTGCTGTGCATTTCATGTGGCATTCGCTTCTCCTTCCATTTGGAAGAATGGCAAGTTTTGTAGAGCATTTGGATCGTGCTGTCAGGTGAGCTGCTCTGTTCTTTCAATTAATTATCCATGTTAACGACAACACTGGCCCCCCTGCGTGCAAATGTTCCACCAAAACAATTCCCCCAGACACTGTTTCAAAGGGGCACTGTTGCTGCATCCTGGGCTTAGCAACACACAAAACAGGCATGATGGGTTTAAGAGAAAAACAAACAAACCAGTGTTCCCACTACAGCAGAATAAACTCCATGGCAGTCAGACCATTCTCTAGTGCACAGCTATGGAGCACGGTCTGAGTAGTTTGGTGGTGCAGGATATAAAAATTGGGTTATACAAAAAAAAAAGATTAAATAAGTATACAACTGAAGAGAAATGGATTTGAGCACATATAGGTCTAGTACACCTTATTATCTAGGTCTAAAGTGTATATTTCTTTATACAGGCAACACGTATGAAGAAGTGTGCACCAGAAAAATTGGATCTAATTGGAAAATATTCCCATTTTTCTTTTTTAAGGGTCCCATGTCCCCACCAGGGCTTGCCATCTGTCTCAGCTCGGCTGCCTGCCTGCTCCAGTTGTCTCTATCATAGCTGACTTATGGTGGAAAGTGTTGTGCACTACTGTATGAATGTTAATGGAGCGTTTCTATGTCATTTTAGTGGAAAAATAAAGCGGTATGGCAACACTCTGACGCTGCCCAAGCCTAGTGTAACACACCGCTACATCATCTGGTCTGAAGGCCAAACATTGACTGCATTTTTATGAAATGGCTGAATTGCCTTTGACTCATTAAAACATGTAATTTCCTAACATTTTGTTAGACTTGTTATTGTTAAGTAAAGGCGTTACCTCGTAAAATCTTAAGAAGAGTAGATCAAGGCCTCTGAGTGCGGGTTGGATGTTTGCTTGTTGTGTAAGGCAGACAAAGAGTGGTTTTTTTTTTTTTGTGTAAGGCAGACAAAGAGTGGTTTTTTTTTTTTTGTGAGTGCAGATTTTGTCTTTACAAGCTTTACAAACTCAGCAGAATACAGTATATACATGAGACAAAGGCTTCCTGCTGAATACCTTTACATAATAAGTCGGGAAATAGACCAGAGTAGATGAGTGCCAAAGAACACAGACTGAGTGAATCTAAGGAGTGCTGGAAGAGAGAAAGAAAGGCAGGAAAAAAAATTGAAAACGAGATCAGATTTATGGGTGTCTTTTCAACAGAGCCATCCAGCTGCATTATCCTCGCCGGAACATAAATCGTGAAAGCGATGTGGAACGTAGAAGCATAACTCAGGTTTTCCTCTTCTGTGCAACGACTGGTGAAACAATGTCTGGCGGGAAGTGCTCTGACCATCCTGTCGCTCTTTTCCTCTTTACTGTCGTTCATGCCTTTCCTATTCTTACTCTTCCCTCTGTTTTTCGGTTGTGTTTTGCAGCCTGTCTCTCTCTTTCTTTTCTTTCTCTGACTCTGCATCACTCTTTGCCGTTCTGCTCCATTGAGCTGATGCCATTCAGAGGGCAAATGTCAGAGAGAGAGAGAAGTATTTCGTCATTCTCCTTCTCTTTTTCTATGCTTGAACAGCCTTCGTTCTGAGTTCCAGAGCTGCTGCTCCCTCTCTCTTCACAGCCATGGATTCAATTGCAAAGGTTTATGGGCTTAAGTGAGATGTATAAATGGAGAGGCAGTCTTCCTTCTGTCTTATTTTGCCTTTTCTCATGTGGAGAGTGTCTCATTCTCACTCTATTCCGGGTACTTCCGTTGCTGACCCCCTCCTCAGTCTCAGATATGTTCACTCTCCTTCCTACAGCCAGTGGAGATTTTGTGCCATTTACCTATTCCCTCTCTTGTCCTCCTCATCCCCTTTCTCTTGTTTATGATGCTCAGTTTGTGTTTTCTAAAAGAGAACTACCAGTATGTTTGTTGCTTGTAAAGTCATGTTTGCGTGAGTTGTGATATCAGGATACTGCATCGGAAAAAAAAAACTACCACTGCGCTTTGTACCGGCATTTATCACCATGTGGAGGACCGTTAGGTATGGTACTACTAGAAGTGTATGCAAATGAGGGCAAATATGCAAATGAATATCCTAATTTGGATGTTAATTACTCAGCACACCTAATTATAATATGTCTGATGAGGCGTAAGGTGGAGGAGAGGAGTGAAATGGAGGGGCTGCCATAGGATGATGTATGTGTGGTGCTGAGAGAATGAAGTGCGTTTTCTGTGTGTTTGCTTGTGTGTGAAGGAGAGAGATGTTGGTGTTTAGGGCTGTGTGTATGCCAGAATTACACCAGCTGGTCCAACGGCCCCGATGGGGCTTTTCTGGTCAACACTGCTCAATATGTGGTGGATAAACACTGCATGCAGTACTGACTTCTGAGAGACAGCCACATACTCTCTTCTTCTGTTATCTCACTAATGCAATGACACACATTCACACACTCTGACACTCTTGTACTTGAACGCTATCTAAGCAAACACTTTATTTACATGCACGAAATAACTTAGGTGGTGTTTTAGACAGGACAGAGTGTGAGAGAGGATAAACAGTAATAGGAGAGGAAAAAGTGGAGAGAAGCAAGAGAGCCTTGTGGATTTTCTGTATCATTATTACATTAATATTATTATTCCTTAATTTGTTCATTTTCCACTCTGTATGCTTTAGGAATGCTAATGTATAAGACATTAGAATAAATTGGCTAAAATATGATTCAACAACATCAAACGACTGGCTACACGGGTTAGTCAGTCCCACTTAAGAATAAATCAGGGTACCAGTGGGAAGCATTTCTTTATTCAGTGCGAGGAGCCAAGTTTGTCAACTGGATGCAGCTGTGTCGCAATCCGGTTGCGCCGCAGCTCCATCACACCTCTGTTGGGAATAAAATATCTGCTGGAAACATTTCAGAAGTGGAGCATCTTCAAACAGTCTGTTCTTCAGCAGCTGCATTTCTAATAGTGTTTTAAACTGTTTGGCCGGCACTTTTTAAAGATGACTTTCTTGTGAATAGTGTATAAATAGATATCTTGCACCTTGAAAACATGATAATAAAACTGAATATTACTTGTCATGACTTGTAGGCAACAGTGGATGTACTTATATGGTACATACACATGTATGTATAGACGAAGTCAATAATAAATTAAAGGTACTGTAAATATTTGCATTTTGTGTCAGTGGTTTATTAATACAGGTGGTTTTATACATCCACATGTGAATTTCATGCCTCACAAATCCT